AGAGAGGAGAGAGGGAGAGAGAGATGAGAACCAGAACTAAAGAGCAGGTCAACAGGAGGGCAGGAATGCAACTCGGAGCTTCTGGAGGCTTCCCTGGCATGGGGGAGTTGGTGTGTTTCAAGGCAGGGTCAGACTGTTGGCGATTGTAGCGGCGATTATGTAATCTTATCCTTGATTCTGGCTGTGGGTACTTTTAGGCTGTCGGCTTCTGTTTCCCGACAGGATCGGTTCCTATGCATACGTCCTTGGAGGTTCTCCTGTACAATGGAGTTGAATGCAATTTTCCATTTGATGTTCTGACCTATAACAGTGAGAACATGGGCTAGGAGTCATTCATTCGTTCACTCAGAACACATGTGTTGAAGTACTGGCCGTCGACGACGCCCCAGGAGCTAGACTTAGGACATCGGATACCGGAGTCCCTTGATAGGTGTTCACCTTGTGAAAGCAAGCACCCAAGTGAGCCAGAACTACGTCCTGTGCAAACCGCAGCACAGTATGGTAATTTCCACTGTCTCACCGGGTCGACTGTGGAGAGCCAGTCACCCAAGATAACGTGGGAGCATCTTGCATAACGCCGATTATTACACAGATGTGAGGTATTATTATAGCTTGAGTGCAACACTGCCTTTGTGTCCTTCAGGAAACTGCGTTATTTGTAAACACGAGATTCCTCCTTCTCTGTGTCCTTGGTTCTGTGTCGCAGGTGTCTCGCGGCGAGACTGATTCATTGTCAACCGGGCCGTTTTGTGCAGACGGGGAGCGTTCTAGAGACAAAGTCCAGGACGCCTCTACAAATATTTTGCCAGTAACTGACGTGCTACCGCCGTGGCTTCATTGTGCCCTCAAGCAGGATGGCGCCTGGAGGTTGGCGCATGCTTCTTGACGCGCAGTCGCCGCGCGCCGCGGCCCGGGGGCGCGCACGTCACCGGGCGCCGTTGGCTGACTTCCGGTGGCGCGGATGCCGGATTCCGCGGGATGAGGTGGGCTGCTGAGGGTGTCGGGGGTTGTGCTGAGGGGCGGGGAGCGGCCGGTGGGAGCGGGACCACCTGGGCGCAGGCTGTCCGGGATGGTAGGGGTTTGGTGTGAGGGTGGGCGCGGCGTGCAGGACGGAAGTTAGGGGCGCGAGGGCTTCTCCTGGGAGTCGGACTGGGGCCAGCGCTCGGCGCGGGGGCTGGAAAGCGCAGGTCGGAGGCCTTTTTGAAATGATTGTCCGGGAGGGGCCGCGGCGCGGCTGCCTTCGTTCTCGGTGCGGGGCCGACGCCGTTCTCAGTGGCTGGGGCTTTGGGCGCTGTTGCTGTGCGTTCGGTGCCCGGAGCCATTGGGTGCCCGCTGCCGACTGAGCCACAGCTGCCCTTTTCGTCCCTCAGTAGTTCACCTGTGAGAGCAGGGATTGCCTGGGCACTCGCGCTCCTCTCCTTACCAACGCTGCCCACGGCATCCTCACGTGTTTGTTGAGCTGTCATTTCAGCGAGAAGGCATGGGTCGGTTGGGGGACGGAGCAGGGGAGACCTCCCCACCCCCCATGTATTGGAGATTTGGATGAGGGAGGCTTTGTAGCGGACTCTTAGAGAAACTTTTTTCGGTTCTCAACTCCAAGCTTTCATCTAGGTCTCTGATGTGCAGGCATTAATGTATGAGGGCAAATTCTTCCTGGTAGAAATTACTGTCAATTTCTATATAATGTTGAACCCTTGTACCAAAGGCTGTGCAGAGTAAGTTTTTTTAAACAATATTTATGTATTTGAAAGGCAGAATTACAGACCAGGACAGAGTCACAAAGGAGATATTCCATTTGTTGGTTCATTGTTCAAAATACTGCAGCAAGCAGGCCTGGGCCAGGTGAATCCAGGAGCTTGGACTGGAACTGTTACTGTTTTTGCCATGTGGATGAAAGGGCTCCCTGTACCTGGGTCATCTGCGCTTTCTCAGTTGTTTCATAGCAGGGAGTTGGATTGCAAGTGGAGGAGCTGGAAATTCAAACTGTGCCCCTGTGAGATGAGAGCATTGCATGCATTGCTTAACCCACTGCTCCACAACCCTTTCTACAAGAATAAGTTTTTTCAAGGCTCTTTTTAGTTGTATTATTCAGAGAATTCTCATTTTGTTGATACCTAATGGGACATTGTATATCTGCAAACCCAGATACTTCTGAATACTCGGCATATTAATTGGAGTAAGCTTCTTACTCTGTAATCTCATAATTTTGGTGGAGGTAGGTGGGAAAGAGACAGAGACAATTACTAAAATGATAAGTACTGTAAAAAGGGTTTGCAAAACAGGACTTTAAGAATATAAAAGAATATTTTCACGGTTATGTCGGCATTATTTTTAAAGTGTGTTAGTGGAATTGAAAATAAGTCTTGAAGTAACAGTACAGAGAATAATATGACTCCTCTTCCTTGTTTGAAAACTTGTTAATATTGGCTAGTTTTTAAAACAAGCACACTTTGATTGTTTGTGTCTTCCTTTTTTTTTTTAATATTTCTCTTTTTTAAGATTTATTTATTTATCTGAAAGAGTTACACAGAGAGAGGAGAGAGAGAGAGAGGGAGAGGGAGAGTTCTTCCATCTGATGGTTCACTCTCCAATTGGCCACAATGGCCGGAGCCATGCCGATCTGAAGCCAGGAGCCAGGAGCTTCTTCCAGGTCTCCCACAAGGATGCAGGAGCCCAAGGATTTGGGCCTCTTCTACTGCTTTCCCAGGCCACAGCAGAGAGCTGGATTGGAAGTGGAGCAGCCACGTCTCGAACCGGTGCCCATATGGGATGCCGGCACTTCAGGCCAAGGAGTTAACCCACTGTGCCACAGCGCCAGCCCCGTCTTCCTTTTTTTAAATAACCATCTTGTAATTTCATTTTCTGGAAACTTTTTTTTTAATTTATTAATTTATTTGAAAGATCGAGTTAGAATGGGATCTTCCGTTGGCTGGTTCACTCCTGAAATGGCTGCAGCAGCCAGAGCTAGGAGGATCTGAAGCCAAGAGCCAAGGAGGTTCTTCCAGATCTCCCACATGGGTGCAAAGACCGAATTATTTGAACCATCTTGCACTGCTTTCCCTGGTGCATTAGCAGGGAGCTAGATCTGAAGTAGAACAACTGGGACTTGTACTGGTACCCAGATGGGATGCCAGCACTGCAGGTGGTCACTTTCCCTGCTATGCCACAGTTATTTATTTATTTATTACATAATTTATTATTTATTTATTTGAGAGGTAGAGTTATAGACAGTGAGAAAGAGGAACAGAGAGAAATGTCTTCCTTGCATTGCTTCACTCCCCAGATGGCTGTAGTGGCCAGAACTGCGTCGATCTGAAGCCAGGATCCAGGAGCTTCTTCCTGGTCTCCCATGCAGGTACAGGGGCCTAAACACTTGGGCCATCTTCTACTGCTTTCCCAGGCCATAGCAGAGAGCTGGATTGGAAGCAGGGCAGCCAGGACTAGAACCGGTGCCTATATTGGATGCCAGCACCACAGGTGGAGGATTAACCTACTCTGCCATGGAGCTGACCCCAATATTTATTTTTTTTAAGAGTTGTTTATTTATTTGAAAGAGTAGTTGAGAAAGACCGTCCATCCACTGGTGCACTCCCCAAATACCCTCAATGTGCAGGGCTGGGCCAGGCTGAAGCCGGGAGCTTAATCCGGTCTCCCATGTGCATGCAGGGGCCTCACCACATGGTCCATCCTCCAGTGCTTTCCCAGGTGCACCATCAAGGACTGGATTGGAAGTAGAGAAGCCGGGACTCTTCACTGGTGCGTGTATGAGATGCTGGCACTGCAGTTATCGGCTTACATTGCAGCTCTGTGACACTGTCCTTTGGTTTTTTATTGTTTCTCTTAATGTAAAAGCCTGTTTATGAAAACAGTAGTATACATTTACTGATTTGTCTAATGATGTAGGTGTTGTTTTTATTTAAAAATTGAAGAAATAAGGCCGGCGCCGCGGCTCACTAGCTATCTCGCTAGCGTGCGCACACAGTTCTAGTCCGTCGGGCGCGATTCTTTCCGTTGCCCTTCTTCAGGCAGCTTCTCTGCTGTGCCAGGGAGTGCAGTGGAGGATGGCCCAGGTGCTTGGGCCCTGCACCCCATGGGAGACCAGGAAAAGCACCTGGCTCCTGGCTCCTGCCATCGGATCAGCGCGGTGCGCGGGCCGCGGGGCCTTTGGAGGGTGAACCAACGCAAAGGAAGACCTTTCTCTCTGTCTCTCTCTCTCACTGTCCACTCTGCCTGTTAAAAAAAAAAAAAAAAAAAAAAAAATTGAAGAAATAGTTTCCGGATCAGTAGCTCATGTAAAGTCATCGTGCTTAAGATAAGCTGACTTGGGAAACAAATGCAGGCAGTTTGACTCCACAGTTTTTGAATAAGGGTTTATTTGTTTGAAAGGAAGAGTGGCAAAGTGAGAGCGGGAGAGAGGAAGACAGCGAGCGAGAGGTCTTCCATGTGGTGGTTCACTCCCCACTGGTGGCACTAACCAGATCTGGGCCAGTCTGAAGCCAGCTATTTGGAACTGCATCCTGGTTTCACGTGGAGTATAGGGGCTCAAGCACTTGGGTCATCATCCACAGCCTTCTAAGGTGCCTTAGCAGATGCTTTGAAATGAGATGCCAGCAGGTAGTGGCTTAACCCACTGCACCAGGCTGCTGGCACTCATACCATAGTTTCCTACCATTGTGTTAGTCTGTCTCCCTGATGGTGGTAATAACTAACACCTGTTAATCACTACTTATTTGTTAGAACAGCAGTTATGAAGCAAGTAATTATTTTTACAGTTGAGGGAGCTGAAACTTTTGAGCTGTTAACATTGGTTGGCCATAGTAATCAGAAGTAGAATTGGGATTTGAACTCAGTTACTGCAAGTACTATCCTTTCCCTCCCAAGGAGAGAGTGTGTTTGATGTAAAATATTTTATTTATGAATCAGCATGAGTAAATGAAAAGGGCAGTGTTGTCACAAGCAATTAATATGAACGTGGTAAAAACTTGCTTTTATCCTTTCAGGAGGGAACAAAAGTGGAGCTTTTACAATGTTGCCCTGTAAGAAGAGAAGAAGTACGGTGCCAGAGTCCCCACAGCATAAGGGCCAGCAGGAGGAGGTCGATGTAGACTTAGAATCTGCTGTTAACCTCGACTCTGCCCAGGTGAGAGAGCTGCAGTCCGTGTCGCTGTGCTGGGGCCCGAGTCCTGACAGAAGAGCTGGCCCTGAAGTAGCGTGTGTGCAGGATGCAGGGCGGCAGGCTGCTGCCGAGGACGCACCTTTGAGTGCAAGGACGCTCACCCAGGACACACATTTTCCAGTCCTAGACGGTGTTGATGTGGACATGGCTCAGGGAATCACCCTGCCTGCCTTGGAGTCCTTCCCTTCCCTTGACATGCACATGGGTAAAGGAAAATTCCAGACTGCTGGTTCCAGGAGAGCAAAAAGAGTCAGTCTGAGTCCTGGATCTGTCACCGTAGAAGACAGAGGTGACCGTCTTAGCAAGAAGGAGACTTTTTCTGAAGAATCTAGTAGTGAAGAAGGCAAAGAAGAAGGAGGTAAGATATGGAAGGTCCATTTTCCACGTGGACACCACTTTGTCATTGCCTTTTCCACAGAGCCATTAAGTAGGGTTATTGCAAAGGGGTACCAGCTTGTCATGAAATTGGACTTGTGCTTAAGAAGGTTCAGCAGTGAGGTTTTATCTTTTCTTTATTTTAAGGTTTATTTGTTTGTGAAAGGCAGATTTGAGAGAGAGAGAGAACGATCGATCTATGCTAGTTCACTCCCCAAATGGCCACTGGCGGGGACTGGGCCATACTAAATCAGGTAGCCTGAAACTCCATATGGTTCTCCCATTTAGGTGTCAGGAGCCCAAGCTCTTCGGCCTTCTTTGACTTTGTTCCCAGGCAGATTAGCAAGGAGCTGGATCAGAAGCAAAACAGCCAGGACTTGAAGTGGCACTCATATTGTACCACCAGTGTTGTAGACAGTGGCTTCACCTGCTGTGCCTCAATGCCGGCCCCAGCAGTGAACTTTATGTATGGGTTGAGACTTGGTTTTCCCCTTCCGTTCCCTAGATCTTTGCTATCCCTTCCTTTCTCATCCTGTGTCCTGTGTGTCAGGAGAGATGAGCTGGATATGGGCTTCTGGGATTGGTAGGTATCCCTGAAGTGGGGCTCCTGGAAGAGAGAGCTGCTTTTTTTTTTTTTTTTTATTTTTGACAGGCAGAGTGGACAGTGAGAGAGAGAGAGACAGAGAGAAAGGTCTTCCATTGCCGTTGGTTCACCCTCCAATGGCCGCCGCGGCCGGCGCGCTGCGGCCGGCGCACCGCGGCCGGCGCACCGCGCTGATCCGATGGCAGGAGCCAGGAGCCAGGTGCTTTTCCTGGTCTCCCATGGGGTGCAGGGCCCAAGCACCTGGGCCATCCTCCACTGCACTCCCTGGCCACAGCAGAGGGCTGGCCTGGAAGAGGGGCAACCGGGACAGAATCCGGCGCCCCGACCGGGACTAGAACCCGGTGTGCCGGCGCCGCTAGGCGGAGGATTAGCCTAGTGAGCCGCGGCGCCGGCTCCTGGAAGAGAGAGCTGCTTAAAGGGAGAGACTGTTGCCTGGCACATGGGGAGAGGTTCTGTAGGTGTGAATGACCCTTGGGCCTTGGAGGCTGATTTGCAGTTTGACAGGATGGTGGCGTGAGCCCCAAGGCTACGAGCAGTGTGTGCAGAGGTAAATGGGTGGAAGTGGAAGGTGACATAGCTTCTTGGAAGAAGTGGGAGATGACTTCAGAGTGCTAGGTAGAGGATAGGTTGTGAAGGGCTTTGTGTTTCATGTAAGCTGTTTAGAATTTTGCTGTAGGTAGGTGTAACCATTTTAATGGCTAAGCTGAAATTTATGCTACGCCGATCTGAAGCCAGGAGCTCTTCCTGGTCTCCCATGTGGTGCAGGGGCCCAAGCACTTGCGCCATCCTCTACTGCTTTCCCAGGCCACAGCAGATAGTTGGACTGGAAGAGGAGCAACCGGGACTAGAACCAGCGCCCATATGGGATGCAAGTGCCACAGGTGGAGGATTAACCTAGTGCGCCATGGTGCCGGCTCCAGGTGGAAGCTCTTTTTGGAAAAAGTGTTTTCTTATAGACTCAGCTGAAAATTGGTGCTAGCATCTTGCACTTTCATTAATGGGACATATAAATAATACCAATAAAAAGGTGCATTGGAGCCAGCACTGTGTTGCATTGGGTTAATCTGCTGCCTGCCATACTGCATGCCGTGTGGGCACCAGTTCTGTCCCAACTGCTCCGCTTCAGATCCAGCTCCCTGCTATTGTGGCTAGAAGGCATCAGAAGATGGCCCAAGTGCTTGGGTCTGTTCACTTACATGGGAGACCCTGATGGAGCTCCTGGCTCCTATTTTGTTTGTTTGTTTTTAAATTTTTTTTCACCCCCCAAAACCTTTTATTTAAGGAATACAGACTTCATGGATTTCAAAAGTACAGCTTTAGGAATATAGTGATTCTTCCCACCATACCTGCCCTCCTACCCACTTGGCTCTTGGTTTTGATCTGGCCCGACTCCAGTCATTGTAGCCATGTGGGGAGTGAACCAATGGATGGAGGATCTCTCTCTCTGTATCTCTCTGTAACTCCATCTTACAAATAAATAAGTCTTTTGGAAAAAAGTACATTGTGAGTATTTTTTTAATTTATTTATTTGAAAGGGAAAGTTAGTAAGAGAATGAGAAACAGAGATCTTCCATCCTCAGGTTTTCTCCTCAGATGGATATAACATCTGAGCCTGGGTCAGGCTGAACCAGGAGCCTGGAACTCCATATAGGTCTCCCACATAAGTTGCAAGAGACCATCGATTTTGGAAGTCATCTTTTGCCTTCCCAAGCTAGTAACCAGAGAGCTGAGTTGGAAGCAGAGCAGCAGGGGCTCATGTGCAGTCATATGGATACAAATGTCACAGGCAGCCACTTAACATTGCTGTACCACAGTGCAGGCTCACAAAAAGTTATTTCTCAAGTAACTTTTTTTTCTTGTTAAATAGAAATGTAATACACACAAAACAGGAAGAAAGGTTGAAAATTCTTATGTGTCTTTTTTGGGAAATATTGAACAATCTAAAAAAAAGTCAATGATATATTTTTAAAAAGATTTATTTATTTGAAAGACATAGTTACAGAGAGGGGTAGAGACAGAGAGAAGTCTTCCATCCGCTGGTTCCCTCCCCAGATTGCTGTAACAGTAGGAGCTGTGCTGATAAGGAGCCAGGAGGTTCTTCCAGGTCTCCCATGTGGGTGCAGGGGCCCAAGGACTTGGGCCATCCTCTGCTGCTTTCCCAGATTGCTAAGCAGGGAGCTGGATTGGAAGTGGAGCAACTGGGGCTTGAGCCAGTGCCCATGTGGGATGCCGGCAATGTATACTGAACTTTAACCCACTGCACCACAGCACTGGCTCTTATAAATTTTTTTTTTAAGATTTATTTATTTAAAAAAAATAAAGATTTAGTTATTTGAAAGAATTACAGAAAGAACACAGAGGTAGAGATATTCCATCTGCTGGTTCATTCTCCAGATGTCTACAACGACGGGTTGGGCCAGGACAAAGCCAGGAGGCAGGAGCTGCTTCTGGGTCTCCCTGTGGGTGCAGGGACCCAAAGACTTGACCCATCTTTCAGTGCTCTCCGAAGCATGTTAGCATGGAGCCAGGTCTAAAGTGGAGCCCTTGGACTTGAACTGGCACCCATATGGGATGCTGGCGCTACAGGCCATGGCTTAATCTGCTGTGCTATATCACCAGCCCCGATGATAACTTTTTAGTCAAAATAGTGCACATTCTTTTTGCTGCATTGTTATGGAAATAACAGCATCATATTCATTGTAGGAATATTGAAAAAAATACAGAAAAGACATCAGGATTTTGACAGAAAGACATCCAGTCGTGGGCCTTCAGCTACCCTGATAAGCCACTAGTTGTGGTGTCACATCCCACATCAGAGAGCCTGGGTTTAATTTCTGTCTTTATTCCCCATTTCAATTTCCTGCTAATTCATAACCTGGGAGGCAGCAGGTAATGCTGAAGTGGTTGGGTCCTTTCCGCCCACTTGGGAGATCTGGATCTAGTTTTTGGCTTCTTGCTTTGGCCTGGCCTTCACTCCTAATGTTGGGTCATTTGGGGAGTGCTCTGGGGAATAAAGGGTTTTCTCTGTATCTCAAAATAAATAAATAATTTTTAAAAGATTTTATTTATTTGAGAGGTAGAGTTACAGAGAGAGAGAGAGAGGGAGAGACAAAGACCTTTCATCCTCTGGTTTGCTCCCCAAATGGCTGCAACGGTTGGAGCTGTGCCGATCTGAAGCCAGGAGCCAGGAGCTTCTTTATTGTCTCCCAAGAGGGTACAAGGGCCCAAGCACTTGGGCCATCTGCTGCTGCTTTTCCAGGCCTTAGCAGAGAGCTGGATTGGAAAAGGAATGCACAAACTGGTGCCCATATGGGATGCTGGCATAGAAACCCAGCCTACTATGCCACAGCTTCCCCACAAATAATTTTTTTTTTTTTTTTTTTTTTTTGACAGGCAGAGTGGACAGTGAGAGAGAGAGACAGAGAGAAAGGTCTTCCTTTGCTGATGGTTCACCCTCCAATGGCCGCCGCGGCCGGCGCGCTGCGGCCGGCGCACCGCGCTGATCCGATGGCAGGAGCCAGGAGCCAGGTGCTTTTCCTGGTCTCCCATGGGGTGCAGGGCCCAAGCACTTGGGCCATCCTCCACTGCACTCCCGGGCCATAGCAGAGAGCTGGCCTGGAAGAGGGGCAACCGGGACAGAATCCGGCGCCCAGACCGGGACTAGAACGTGGTGTGCCGGTGCCGCAAGGCGGAGGATTAGCCTACTGAGCCATGGCGCTGGACTCTATTGCTTTCAACGTAAGCTTGTACTGCTGTAAACTTTCCTCCTAATATTGCGTTTGCTGTATCTCACAGGTTTTAATATGTTGTGTTTTTCACATCCTTTCTTTTTTTTTCAAGAAATTTTGTAATTACTTTTTTTATTTTCTTCAATGATTTTTAGTCATTTTTAAAAGATTTATTAATTTACTAAAAAGGCAGAGTTACAGAGAGGCAGAGGCAGAGGCAGAGAGAGGTCTTCCATCTACTGGTTCACTCTCCAAATGACTGCAATGGCCAAAGCTGGGGCAATAAAAAGCCAGGAGCTAGGAGCTTCCTCCGGGTCTCCCATGTGCAGGGGCTTTTTAACATATGACAACTTGATTATAATAAGCCTTGGATGGATGTCTTTTTGGGTCGAGTCTGGTTGGGGTACTTTGAGCTTCCAATATCCAGATGTCTGTATCTATTTCAAGATTTGGGAAAATTTCAACTATTATTTTGTTCAGTAGAATCTCAATGCCCCTTTCTGTGTCTTCTCCAGATATCCCTAATAAATCAAGTATTTGTTACATTAATAGTATTCCATATTGCTTTTTTTGGACAGGCAGAATGGACAGTGAGAGAGAGACAGAGAAAGGTCTTCCTTTGCCATTGGTTCACCCTCCAGTGGATGCCAC